GTACAACACCTCTCCCAGAAGAAGGCTTAAGTCAGCCCTGAGAACCTTCCCCTGGTTCCCTTGTGTATCCTGACCACCACCTTTGTCCTCTGATTCATTGTTTCAGTCTATTTGCCTGGTTTGCTTCAGGTACTCTCAGGGTTTGAAGGGTCTTGCAGGATAAAGGTATTTTTCAGTGCTGAATTAGCCAACTTCAAATGAGTGTCTCATGTCTTGGTTCTGTGATTCCAGTAGGATAAGCAAATTCTTTGGGCAGTAAAGGGCAATAATACCTGGTGGTGTTGAAAGCTGAGTGCCTTTTTGGCCCAGGTATCTGAGTAAAAAGAACTGCATGTGCTTCATCAGAAGTGATTCATACTCTTCTCAGTTAGTTCAGTATCTTTCGTTTGACAGGATAATGTTCACATAAATTCTCTTTCTTTACAGTTGTGACCATGGACATGAGCAGCCATTAGGGAGAGCGAATAAACTTGTATTCCCTTTGCTGGCCTCAGGCTCGCTGATGTGAGCCCCGATGAGTACTTGGCCCAGACTACAAACAAGTGTTGCAAATGTGTTTACAGTTTAATCGTTTAGATGAACATGTCACAGTGCTCTTGGGAGCAACTTTCCATTAGCGTGGACACCGCAGGCAGCGCGAGACAACTATGCTCACTGAACAAAATTTGCTTCTGCCTCCTATCAGACCAGTTCTGCAGAGCAAGTTTGATTTATTATTTATGTTTGTTGAATTCCCTGACCGCTGAATAGAGGAAGAAACTACTTTGAATTTGTAATAAAAATGATGACAAAGGGATCAGGTATCATCTAAGCACCTAACGGTATTAGCTCACCACAACCTAATGCAGTAATAGAGTACCGTCTTTGGTTTGCTTATAAGTCCGATGGGCACTGAAGAATAGATATTTTCACAGAGGATCATAGTCTATCTGGGTTGCTGTACAAACTGTGGCTGACAGGGGCTTATAAATAATTGAAATGTGCTTCTCATACTTCTGGAAGCTGGGAGGTCCTGAGCAAAGTGCTAGCAGTTTCAGTGTCTGGTGAGATCCTGCTTCCCGGTTCATGGGTGCCTGTGTCCTCATGTAGGGGAGAGAAGAGGGATTTCTGGGGGTCACTTCCCATTTAGGGCTCTGCTCTCCCCCTACTCATTTCCCCAAAGCTCCACTTCCTATTAGCATCACTTTGGATGTTAGGACCTCACCAAGATTTTTGAGTTTTAGGAGGACCTGAATGTTCAGTCTAGCATACATAGGTAGAAAATGATAGATCTGGAATTTGAACCCAGGCAACCTAATTCCAGAATCCATTTTCTCACCCACTGTGCAGACCTTTTTCTTTTTGTATGAGTCCACCGGTAGCCGAGGAAAGTAGGATGTGACTGGTAAAGACAGTACTAGTGCATCATGCGGAGGCAGCGTAGTGTAGATTCAGACTCCACTGTCCGCACGTTACCCTCAAACACATTGTTCCAGTGTGTCATGGGAGTGGTGAGATCTGGAGAGCACACCCTTGTTGTGCAAGGGGCAGCTATGTATCACTGTGTTGATGGTTTTAATTTTTTTGTTTTTGTCAAAAGAAGTCAGAAATCTAGATTTTAATGGAAAATTTGCACCTCTTAAAATCACCTTAGTATGAATGACCATGATTCAGGTAATTACTGCATTCCTGTATAATAGAAGTTGGATTTTTCAGCAGGAACCAGCAAACTGCAAATCTCAGTGGTTTAAAAATAATTAAAGGTTACTTGTCATTCATGTACACTGCCTCACGTAGGTAAGCTGTGGTCTCTGCTGTTTTTTGCAAATGAATGCATGTTAGATTAATGAGTTTCCTTTGGGCAGATTCACACATCCATATAACATAGACACTCAATTCTGTGCTACTGCAGTAATGAGAAGGAGCCAAAAGGGCTCACTTAAAGATTCTTAAAGCTCCTCACAGAAATGACACAGGTCACGTAGATTCATGTGTGACTGACCAAAGACAGTTGGCTACCACAGATAGCTTTAGCGGGGCTGAGGGAAGAGGGGGTGTTATCTGTGGGCCAAGAAGGGGCGCCAATGTTTGTGAGTATCCCCAGTGGCTACCACAGCTCCATACATTCTAATTTTCAAGACATAAATGCTAAATTTCTCCCAAAGGTAGAACCCAGTTTTTAGGGCTTTAAAACAGAAGTTGAGTTTTAAAAAATTTGATTTATATGAAAATAATCATTTTTTGCTTAATTTGAATTAATGACACTTATGTAAACATTATATTTTTAAATCAATTAGTAAATTGTATGCAGAGACTGAAATAATTCTTAGCTGAAGTGATAATTTATAGATGGGTGCTTATTCTGATGAGCACTGCTCGTGTATTTAAAATATTTATGTTATCCTCTGTCTTTGTAACTTGCCTCATTAACTACACTATACGATAAGGATTTTGTCTTAGTAAATTATAGTCTTTGGTTCTTGAAACTATAGAAAATGATTATTTAATAGATGTTAATACATTGTATTGATATTTTTCCAACTAGTAGTTTGTAAATCATTATAATTGGATGTTCTGACACCAGGAGATGTCACAGCAGTTGAAAACACTTCAGGCAGCTTTTAAAAGCTGCTTAGGGTTGATTGCGGTGGACTAGGGAAGCTAAATTCCCTTGGCCTCAAGGGCAGTTCTGCCTGATAGTCTATGAATCACAAGGCACCCAGCCTCCTTTCATTTTTCGGGGATGTTTTCACATGCTTTATTTGGCTGTAAAATTTGGATGAATTTTAACTTTAAAAAATTATGAAGCAAACACAAGTGGCTGGAGAAGAATTTGATTGCCCAAGATTTTGCAAGGCCCTAACATTTTAAAACAAGCCCATCCAAGCTCCTAAATCCACACCCTTCCTGGATGAGCAGATAGAGGGTGACTCGCATTCTCATGAAATTCAAAGTGCTCAGGGACAAGGATATGCGAGGACAGAGCTTGGCCCAGGAAGAGGGTTTCTTTGGTTCACAGTGGAATTATTCCTTTTGGACAAGGTTGCATGAACACAGTTACTCATTGGTCGATTCCCAGTCATGCAAGAGTATTTCCAGGATAATTGCTCTTAAGTTCTTCCACATGTACTTGTAAATATTCATATATTGGCTCTTGTAAACAGGACTTCTGTTGCCCATCTGCTGATCCTAAAGGTGTAGAAAGGTGTAACATAGTGTTAAGAGTCTGCTTTCAGACAACCTGGGTTTAGGAACCATCACTGACGCCATGCACTAGCTGTGTTGTGTTGCCAATCATTTAACCATTTGGACATTTGGATAGTGTCCTTATTTATAAACTAAAGATAAAAGGTATCACCTGTGTCATAAGAGTCTTGTGAAGGTTTGGTGAAATAGCATGTCATATGCACGGCACAGTTCCAGGCATATAATAAGCATTCAATAAAAATGATCAACTATTATTAGTTGTATTTTAATACTATCTTTGTAAAATCATATCATTAGTGGAAAGAATCTCCGAAGTCACTGGATTTAGATACTCATCCAACAATTTAATCCTCTCTATACGTCTTCCTGCAGAGAAGTCACTGACTTTTAAAGCTTTTTCATATTGGACTAAATTACACTTTACCTCGCAGCTTGCAGCATTTGGAAGTGCCTAGACCAAATGTGGACCTGTCTGCCCTCATAACCCCTGAAAATAGAACTAAACTTGGGCTGTTGTTCTCTACACTTCCATGGAACTTTCCCTGCCTCTCCTCGAAACTTGCATTTCATCTTTCTCAACAAAGTTTTGGACAGATGTGGTTTGAACTTCCTGCAGCTTTATTTTCTCTTTAGCACCTTGGGTGTAGAGTCTGATTCATCAGCTCTTCCAGCTGGAGCACAGAGAGAGGGGAGAGAGTGGAGAGGGGAGAAAGGATTGGAAATGATCAAGATATGTTGCATACATACACCAGCTCTCCCAAACAAACATCACTGTTCCAATTACACACGTGCATTCTTAAAAGAAGATAAATTGCAATCATAAAGAACAATAGGCCCTCGGCAAAGTGAAAAGTACATATATTACTGTTATTGTCTCTGTTGTACTATTGAGGGGAAAAATGAGTCTCCAAAGAGGTGAGTTCTTCAGTATCCTCATTTTGAAAGATAAGGTACGTCAGGATTTGTAAACAGTCCATCTACTTCCAAGTTCCTTCCACTAGCTTTATAGACATAGATAAAGTTGGATGAGTTTCAGGGCAGAGGTGGACTATCTGATCAACTAATATTATTGGACACACACTATGAAAAAGATATGTTTATGAAATAAAGACACAGCCTTTTTCTTGTATAGAGTTCTGGTCTGCACACACAGACAACATGCAAGCAAGTGAAATTAACAGTATAAACTTTTATCTGAGACATCTCCCCTAGTGACTTCTCTCTAATATTTGTTTGTAAATAGATAGAATGACATGGAGGTGGAGACGCATAGATACAGGTTCAGATGATAGGAAAGAGCAGAGATGAAGGCACAGAATAGAGACAGTGATACATCTACCATCCAGCATAGTGGCTGGGTGGGGGAGGAAATCAGAAAGTGGGAACAAGAGAGGGTGGAGAGTTTAGGAGTGTGGGAGAGAGGAGGAAATGTGATCTATGTCTCTTTCCACACATAGAAATATCTGAATAAACTATGAATGAAAAACAATGGGGTAAGGAGAGACAGCTCCAGTTCCTTTAATCTGGGGAGACTTGCCTAAGAATTATACAGAGGAAGACAGTAAGGTAGTACTCACTGGTAACCCCCGCACTGTGGGAGACTGAAGCAGGAAATGTCCATCTGAGTACTTGGCGGGACCGTGTCTCAAAAATAAAATATAAGATAAACTAAAAATAAGTAACAAAATATAAATTAAATAATGAAAAATAATAAATAGAATAAAATAATGCATAATAAAATAAGTAAATATTAAAGGGCTGAGCAGAGCTCCCCAGCCTGCTTCCTCCACCCCTGAACCCCTCTCTCCCCTCAGGCCGTGGGCTGCGACCGGCAGCTGGGCAGCGTGGCCAAAGAGGACAACTGCGGAGTGTGTGGCGGCGACGGCTCCACCTGCAGGCTGGTCCGGGGACAGTCGAAGTCGCAGGTTTCTCCGGAAAAAAGTAGGTTTTAAAGGCCTCTTCGGTGTCACCATATGAAAAGATGTATTTTACACTACTTGCGTTTCTAGAATAACACTTTCCTAATACTAAGCTTTTTGGTTGGAAGTAACTTTGATCGGCTTTCTAAAAAACTTCTTTCAAAAAGAATATGAAATTTTTGTTCTCAGCATCTCTTCAAAGACTGTCTTTTTTTTGGACTCATTTACATTGCAAAGTGTTGCTGTTTTTAACAATAATATCCACTGATTTTTCCGGTAAATATGAAGTACTAATTCTTTTATTTTCCTTCCTTTGCTAATACGGTAGAGAATATTGTCATATATTTAATGACAATTAGTATTTTTTTGGTTATGTAGATTCTGAAGCTATGTATCCATTTTCCTATTTCTTAACCATTTTCTTCTACTGTGAGCTTTTTTGTTTTAAAAAGCAAAACAGAAGAAAAGGATAGAAATGATAGAGAATTTTTTTAAAAAGCAGGAAATCAACACTAGTTAATATATTGCATAGTTATCTTAGAAGTAGTTGTTTGAACTTCTAATGCATCACAAACACTAAGCTTTTGCCTATCATATCTGTTTTGAATGTGGTTTTAAAATCTGACTTTCATCTTTGTTTATGCTTGAAGAATAAATCATTTCTAAGTGTATTCAGAAATTTGAATCATCTCCTTTCCATACTATCTGCCTTTGATCTCAGGGCCCAGTAAACTTTTAGCGTTGAGGGCTAGAGAAAAAGTTTCTAGGCTGTCTGTCCCAGGTGCTGTCAACACTAGGGTGTGGCACAGGTACCCACAGACAAGCTGCTTCTGCTGAGCGCCAGGACAACTTGATTTACAAAGACAGGCTGCAGGCTGAATTTGACCCTCAGCTTGTAGTTTATTGGGAACGTTGCTTTGAAGGGAAAATGTAATTGGTGTGGATTTGCCACTAGTACTTAGATGGTCTTTTTCTCTACTTTTTAATCTTCTATTCATTTGAGCTTGTTATTTTAATATTCTTTATTATCATTATTATATTTTTAGTACTTGGAAATTGAACCTAGGGGCTTCACCCTGAGCTACATCTTTAGCCCCTTTTTATTTTTTGAGACAGGAACTTCATAAATCCCTAAGAAATTAAGGTAACTTGAATTGAACCAGGCAGAGACTGTGTGAAATTTGCTGAGAAATCAATCTTTTCTGGAGAAGTGGGGAGAGGGGTGCCTTGAAGGGTTGGAGTGGGGAGGAGTGAGGGCTGGGCTGGCTGAAGGGCTCATACCCGTGTCCCTCCTCAGCCTCACTCTTTTTTATTTTAGTTTTATTTTAAAGAGAAAAACAGATAAACAAACAATGAAAATGAATTTCAAAACAGGGTAGTAGGACAGGTGCAATACTTAATACACTGCGTGTTGGTGTCTTTTGCAGTTATTCAGAGTACAGGACACAGGCACGATGTTGTATCTAAAGAATATTGACCCAAAACATTCTTCTCAAGGAACCAACAGCAGCTAGCTGTAGAACTACCCTAACTATCTTGTATATACCTATATTTTTTCCTTTTACTCATTCTTCATTCCCCATCACTGTTTGTATTTTCTCTTGAACAATTCTTCCCAATTCACAGTATCTATTGTACATTCTTTTATTTTAAAGAGAAAAAAGTCAGAAAAATCAAGAGCAAACAAACCTAAAAAATGACAAAAGCAAAACAACAACAAAATAATAGCTATATAGGTTTTCAAAACAAGATGATAGGAATTTAACAACAGTTGTCATACTGCATGTTGTTATCTTCAAAATAGTTGCTCAGGTTATCAGATAAGGGATAAAACAGTACAGTAAAACAGAACAAAAACGTTGAATTTCAAGAAATAAGACAGAAGGAAATCCCCTACAGTTGCCACAATGTACACTGCTGTCCTCCAAATAGATGCCCAGACCACCAGCCCCAGGCCTGCAAAGTCAATCAAACAACACAAGCATCAAGCTGTTCCTCTCACCTCAGTGGCTGTTGTGTCACCCTGACTGCACTGAATCAGCCTGTTGCTTTTGGGAGTGTGGGGTGTCGGCAGGGATATGCCCTTCTAGTCTCCCAGCCCACACACCGGCTGGCTCATGGGAAGGCGTGCTTTGTCTCCTTGCTGAGACTTCCTGACCCCCGTGGCAGAGCCTGGCTCATGGGAAGGCATGCTTGGTCTCCTAGTCCTCACTGTTAGTAACATTCATATTGTCTCTGTCTCTGTCTGTGTCTCTCTGACTCCCTTCTTTCCTCTCCCTCCCTCTCCTTCTCTCTGTCTCTGTCTCTCTTTCTCTTTTTCTCTCTTTTTCCCTTCATTGTTTCTTCCCAGTTGGTTTCCAGCTTTTGAATTATGGATCCTTTTGAGAGTCTACTGAATATCATCATTTTTTTCTGCAGGAAAATGCAGATGTACTTATAAGCCCCAAGTGTGCCTTTCTGATTTTTTTTTTTAAGAATGGTTGTCAGATCCTTGATACCCATTTAAGCTATCCTAGGCTAAGCATCCCTAAAATGTCACCTGTCTTTTATCAGTTTCTGTAGAAAGATGGGGACTGGAGCACACAGACAGCTCTTTCCAAGCAGAGCATGAGGACCAGGTGGTCACCTGCTGCACCTGCAGGACACTGGTGTCTCCCGGGTCCAGTTCTATGTGCTGGGGTAACACAGACTCAGCTTGCCTGTAAACGCGGTGCTGCTCTCCTGATCCTCGCTGCAGCCCCTGCTTGGTAGAAGCTGGTGTTGGCTGGGATTCCCCCAGGCCATATGGAAGCACTTCCCTATAATCATGCTTTGTGCGAAGGAAATGTGGGAAATGGAGCCACGTCTCCCCCATGTGAATCACCCTGGCTTGCCGGGTGCACACAGCCCCAAGTCCTCACCCTGCCTCCCTGTGACTCTGCCTGTGTGGAGACGGAGCTGGGAGATGCTGCTGGCTCAGCCCTTGCAGGCTGCACGTGGGATTATTTTCCCGTCCTGCAGGGAGGCAAACACAAGGTGTCAGAGCCTGGAGCCAAAAGCTCTGCTATGAGAAAAATCAGAAATCAATCCAGATAAAACACACATTTCCTGTTCTGAGGGAGGAGGAGAGGGACTGTGTGAGCCATCAGCATGCATAGATTTGGGTGTTGGAAGAAGGAACAAGAGGCCACTCAGGTTTTCAAGAGAGAAGAATCTAATAAGGCTTAATACAGAGAAAAGTTCAGTTTTTGAATTTTTAAATTAGTATAGTACTATGTAATGTGCTGATTTACTGTGTATATACAGTGTGGACTCATTCAATTAAGGTAATTAACATAAGAGCAGTAACAAAGGGCCAAACACTTCTATATGGAGTCTTAACATGACTTTAAGGATTTAGTTGCATTTCTTGGCTTGTCCACATAATGGCGCACACATATAAGCCACATAAATAAACCCCGCTCAGCCATTCTGGGTTCTTTGTCCATTTTTTCAGGGTGGCAGCCCAGCTTATTGGCAGAGTGATCCTAAGGCTATGCTAAAGTAGCAGCATTTCACTCGATTGTGAGCCTTATACTGTAAATCACATCCTAAGTATATTGGCTAGCTTTCTGCCTCTGAGATAAAAGTACCCTACAGCCATAACTTCTAGGAGGAGAGGTTCAGTTTGGCTCATGGATTCAGAGGGTTCAGTCCGTGGTTATCTCCAAGACAGGAACATCATGGTGAAAGGATGTGGTGGAGCAAAGTTGCTTAGTTCACAGTGGCCGCAAAGCAGAGCGGGGGAAGAGCACCAGAGTTGAACAGACAAGGAGCCAGACATGGACCCCAAGGCCATGCCTCCAAAACCCATCCGGATGTAGCCAGCAGTGTACCTCGCTAGCCCCCGAAGCTGATTCCGAAGTCAATCATGTTGACACTCTGCCTTAACCATCCCACTTGGTGTCTTGGTCCTCCTGGCAGTACTTCCCTAGGCTGGTGACCAGCTCCATAGGATAACTTTTATGATGTTTTTCATCATACATTGCTTGCTTCCCCTTTTGCTGTCACTCCCCCAAATAACCTACAGATTTAACTGCTTCTTTGAGAAAGGAGCTTGTGTGTGACGATAAAGGGTTTGCTAATGTGGTGAATGGGTAAATTTTTCATTCTGCTTGTCTCCTCAGTCATCTCTTTTTGCCTCTCTGCTCATCTTTCTGGGCCAAGACTCTGACTGAAAATAAGATTCTTACAATAGAACTGCAGTTGGTAAAGAAATTGTCAAACCCCAAACCCTGACACTTGTGATGGAATCTTTCTTCCCATTTAATTCAATGAGAGTGTGGTGTGGAAGAAAGATCTTGGCACTGGAATCTGAGACCTGTGGGTTGTCGTTCTTGTTCTCATGTTTCTGTCATATGTTGCTATCACATTTTTAGTGTGTCCTCTAGCCCTCTGCGTGTAGACCTTGTTAAAAAGGAATATTTTAGATTGTGTTTCCTACAGAGAAGCAGACTGTGAAGCCCATCTCTTCTTTAATTGATTTATACACAGAGTAAAATGTGATATAATCCTTCCCTAAGTTTTGTGTCATCTGGCCCTGGGGTTATATGCCTATGTGGCTTGGCATGTAGGATGTGTCATGTGCAGTCACCTGTCCCTTATTCACTAGAGTCAGTTATACTGAATTTCTGGAAGGTTCTAGAAACTAAGTGCTTGTTCCCCCATGAACCTTTGCACCAACCAAACCCTGGGCCTGGAAGAAACTGCTTCTCTCAGATCTTAACATGGATGCCTTATATTCACCCTGGATCTCAAGTCCCATTTCCTCAGAGCTCAAATTCTTCAGATCTCCTCTTCCCTTTCTCTCTCTTGGATGGTTGTTATTGTTTTGTAGTAATTGTGATTGAATCCAGGGCCTTTGCAGTGAACTATATCCCCATACCTTTAATTGTTTTATTTTTTTTTACCTTTTTATTTTTTATTTTGAGACAGTGTCTTGCTAAATTGCTCAGGTTGAGTTCACAGTTGTGATCTTCCTGCCTTAGCCTCCCACTAGAGATT